CAGCTCAAAAAAGCTTGTTGTAGAACTTAACATTGAGAATATAGCTTTCTCGCCTAACGACACCATGCAAATCAAGTCTTTGGCGGACATAGGGGGTTGTTGAAAGTCATAAGGGAAGTTATGAGGAGTAATTAAGGGAATTTTTAGGACATAAGGGGTTGTTGAAAGTTAAAGAACAAAACCCTAATACAATAAATAAGAAAGTGAGAGATTAACAATAAAATAGACAACATATGACGACTTAGATCAGTAATGGAGGGAAGCGTGCATTTTCCCTCCATTTTTGCCATCATCTCACATTAATTGCGATGTCTTCTTCCACCGGTTAGTATTAGTTTCTACGCCGAGTTGTTAGGTGAGAAAAGGATATTTTCGGAAGACCAGTTCAAGTACAACCCATACATGTATAATAATGAGCTTTTAAGACCGAGTCACACTATTTTTGGTATTTTGCGGTTAAAGCATATGAGACTATTTTTGGTATTTTGCGGTTAAAGCATATGAGAAAAACTTCATGGGACTGAGCCACGTGAGGTTGTTTATTTTGGGTCTTACACATTTTTTTTCCAAAAAAATATAAGGAAAAGAAATCTCACATGCAAATTACAAAATTACCCAAAAATCCTTTCATAACCTTGAGGCCAAATTCCCGCCAACGCCTCATCGCCCCTCCTGGTCCACCACAAAGCCTCCTCCTCCGCCTTCGCCGCCTTCAAACCCTAACCCCTCTCCCAGGATCTGATCACCTCCTCTTTCTCTCTGGCGGTAACCAGAACTTCCTTCCCGCCAAAACCCTAACCTCCTCGACCGAACCCATCTGGACCTAATGAGTCACAATTTTAAAGAACCCTACCGATCTCGCCGCCGACCTCACAATCTCACAGTGACTCCATTTCAAAATCCGGTGGGTTCCACCCTGGATCGCCTCTGTGGGGCCCATCAACAGGAATTTTGGGGAGAGTTCAGCAGCGGTCCTTGGAATTTTCGTCACATTGGAGAGGGAGGGGCATTACCAGTACGCACCAAAGAATTTAAGAAATAAGATAGACAAGGGGAAAAGCTGAGCAGAGATGGTAAAGGTTAACTTTAAACTTTTTTGTTCTTGAATTGGTTAATGAGGAGTTATTAAAAATGCTTCTTTTGTTTCTGCTTAGGGTTAAGAATAAGAAGCACGGAACTTTTTCGGGCAAAATGCATTTATGGTAGTGACACTTTTGTTCTTTGCATCGTTGTGTAGTGTTGTATTTTCATTTCTGATCCAAACCAATGTATAGTTTGGTGATGACATGAGTCCAGGAATGGGAATTTCTTAGAGCTACTTTAACTTTTCTGCTTCTGTTGATGCTTATTGTTGGTGTAACTAATTTTATGAAGGTCATTGTAGTTCTCTTACTCAAAGAGAATGCGACGTAGATTGATTAAAGGTTCCTTTATGGGTTAGTGATAAATTTGATTTAAGACTTAAGCGGTTAGTGCCTGTATATCCTTTAACAATCATAGATTTGGATTAAGAAGGGCATGTTATAAAGAAGGCCCTAGAGAAAGATCAGCAAACACAAATTATGCAATAGCAGCTTACTTTGCCGAATTTCAGCTCATGTTCTCAAATCATGCATTCGGCTAGTTTTAAATGGGGTCAAATATGTTCAGAAGCATTAATAGCTCCCAGAGTGATGTTGAATTTGTAAGATGATACATATACACAGGAATCAACCTGATTATGGTCTTCTTGATGAATTTATTGTATCACATGCCATGGTAATACATTATCATCTTGGATGTTAGTGGGATATCCTCCATTAAAATAAGGGTAAAGTCTCATAAAAGTTGAGCAGTATTCACTACTAAGAATAAGGTATTAGGTGCTATGGGTGTTCACCAGGTTGGATTTGTGCCTGAGCACACTCAAGACTAACCAAAATAATTAGAAAGCTTTGAAAACTGTACCTAATGCAAACATGTTAATTTTAATTTCTTCAGAGAACCATTTGAGCTTTAACAAATACCCAAATCCACAGGTTCTATCTGAGATTTTGGATTTTTCTTAGATCCCTGCATTCTTGATTGATAAGTGGACTATTCTTTATAATTCAAGGTTCTTCACTACCTATAGTGTCTACAAATTTTATGCTTCAAAGGGTTCTAACTTCAATCCGTCAATGGATTCCCGAATTCCTTAACTGCTAAAAAGTTTTTCTAAACTAAGAATTAAATAGAAACAGAATCTAACTCGGGTCTGAATTCAGAGTGGCTATGTAAAGACTACAGACTGCTGCCTCTATACCTTGTTTATCGTGCATGTCTCTTTCATCCAATAATAATTTATTTTGAAGTTGTACTCATTCTGAAGCTAATGAGATGAGCTTTTAGATGGCTCTGGTTTAATCTTACAATTCTTTGAGTTTATTGGAAGCTAATGGACTTTCTTTTAGTACCTGTTAAAAATTGAAATTTGGGGTTGTTACAGGACTCTTTTTGATGCACGTACGTGCTTCTACATCAATTTCCTCCCAAATGATTTACTGCATCCATAATGCATCTCGCGGTGCTTTTTCTACCAAACATTTACAATTTTCTTCAATTTGAGAACAGCACATTTCACTTAGCTAGTAGTAGAAAGATTGTAGTTTATACCATTGAATAACTTCTTTGAATTAGTAATCCAATCTTCATACTCATTTGGATCTAGCTTTTACTACCAAACACCTTAATCTTGGTTTCCTATGGGTAAGCTCCATATAGGATGTGTTATGGCCTCGATTAGAAAGGGCTTGCTTGCTGGTTGAATTAAACTGGTCAGGAGCAAAGTTACGAGCATCTGTTGGCATCAAAGCAGATGCCTGATCCTTGTTTGCTTCAATTGTGGGGAAGGGTCTGAAAAGACTGCAGACATCTTTCACGTCTCTTAACAAAGGAATTCTTTCACTATTTCGGGAGATTTTCATTTTCCATCTCTCTCTGCATTGTTAACTTTTTTTAAGAAAGGGTAGGGAATGATATGAGAATGGGGAAAGATAGGATGGAGAAGGATAGGGATACTCTGGAACCAATTTATGTAATCTAGGATCTAAACTAAAAAAGGAAAAAAAGGAATTTGGATGAAAAGGAATTTGGGCTTTTGCTCATGAAGTGGATAGGAAATTAGAGATTGATTATGGCTGTGCAGACCTGAATAAAGAAGAACAAAGAACAAAGAAGAGAAGATATCCAAAGATCTCCATCTTTACTACACTTAAATCTCTAATTCCACTGCCTTGTTCTGCTCAACTTCACGTCTTATTTAAAGACAGTTACGGGGAAACGAAGATGAAATAACTTTCCTCCGCAAACTGGTTTTTGTTGAGAAAAATCGTTACCGCAAAAGAATTGAAAAAGAAGTACCCAAGTTTTTCAGTATTTGTAACAAATGTAATATCATCTATGATCTATCCATATAATGCTGACTATTTGATGAATAATCTGTGAGTTTTTATTTTTTATTATTTTATTTTATTTTTATGTAAATCCCAATTGGTTATGTAGTTGGAAAGATTTTTTGATCCATAAGTTGAATACTATTGTTTTCATCTCTTTCACGTGGGCTTTGTTTTTTCTCTCCTTGTCTGTGTGCTCCTTCAGGTCCTTTTCCTGGAAAGGATTTTGTTTAAATTATCAGTACCATTTAGTTGTTCCCTCCGTCTTCAGAATGTGCTAACTAACAAAACATTGTCTTTAATTTTCTTATCAAAAGATGTACACATATTAACTTCTAGCTACAGCTCTGTCTTTGGAGAATCCAACATGAAGCTGTTAAGAAGCAACATTACATTGTTCTCCATTTAGCAAAATGAGTTTCTATCATTTGCAGGCCTTGACAACTTGTGACTATATTAATATCTTCAAACTTTCAGGATATAGAAGTGCCACTTGCCATACATATCTGATGATGTGGACAACTGAACCAGGCTCATTGCCTGCCACTTGTCAGGGATATATGGAATATGCCTAAAATTTTTTCCTAGGGTCTAATTCTAGATCTTAGTTCACTACCTTCTAAAGACGTAAGGATCCAGGAACAAGATACTAAGTTAATCTTAATGTTTAAACCGTGGCCTTTTGTAACTCGAACTAAGATTGAAGCCGGCTGATGCTGTTTAAAACATAACCATAATCATGTATTTAACATATATAATGCTTGCACTTGTATATTTATTTTATTTGAAAACATGACGATAAGGAATTTGGTTTTGTATTTCAAAGCAGCTCTTTCTTAGATGGAAGGGAAAGAAAAACAAAACTCTTTCTATACCTGGAATTATAGTACTTGAGTATTTTCTATATTTATTGTTCGAAACCACCAATGGATGGTAGAAGTTATTTAGACCAGTATTTAATGTTCCTCGTGCACACGATCTTGCAAATCAAACAAATAATAAGGCAGTAATGTTGTTTTCAATCCTGACCTGGCACTGTTTTAGAAATATATATATATATATATATATATATAGAGAGAGAGAGAGAGAGAGAGAGAAAAATGGAGAAACTTGGTACCAAGTTTCTCTAAGGAACTTGGTAGTGAGGTGGCGGGATCTTGGCCCTACATCTGGTGGTTGTGTTAACTTTACAAAAAAACCCCACTTTTACAAAAGTGGCATGAGAATCTGCCAACTAGATATCCTCTCTACCGTAAAACGCCGTGACCACGTTTCTCTCAGATCTCTTTCCTTGCGTGCCGCTTCATCTTCCTCGGCTTTGGATCGTCTCTCCACTTGTCCACATCTCTCTCTCTCGTTCATCTCTCTGTCTCAAACGTGGTCACGGCAAAAAGAGGTGAGTTTGTGATCCTTCCTTTTTTTTTGAGATTCTTTTTGAGGAAATAGTTAGTGATCATCATTAGGGCTGATCATCATAAGGTATTCTGAATCATTAGCTAAATTGCTGATCAATTCAAATCGGGTTTTATCATAAAAAAATCAAATATGTCACCAGGAGTTAAAACTAATCATTTGCATATAAGAGTATGAGGTTTTACATTGATTATAATAAAAATTGAACCCCAGACGGATCTCAGATGACTAATTCAAATGCCGTTATGCCAGTAATTGCACTCTAAACTATGAAGAGCTAGGACAGCCTGCAGGAAATATCAATAAAGACATCACCATTTTCCAATCATGTACAAATGCAATGCTGTCTGTTGACACTCATAGCATCCTGTATATAACCAACCATTGAGTTCCAGCGTTTCTTGTGTTTGTTCTTTTCCTTCATTTCTCTCATCACCCAGCACCTCCTCTCTCTAACTGAGAGAGGGAATGGACAACTTCAACAACAGCATGTACCGGAGCATGGAAATGTTTTCTCCAATGCGATCACCATTTCAACATAGCCAGTCTCCTGCAGTGGACATGGCATCTCTATCTCCATTTAGATCTCCATTTCGATCTCCTTTAACATCAGCTCGGCCTTCTGCTGTTGATGAAGATGAGGCAGCGCTGCGATGGGCTGCAATTGAGAAGCTTCCCATATATGAACAGCTCCGGACAAGCGTGCTGAAGGAGGCAGTAGAAGTACAGGATGGACGAAAAAGGTATGAGCATAAGGAGGTAGATGTCAGAAATCTTGGGCTTGCTGACAGGCAACAGTTCATTGAGAGGATCTTTAAAGTTGCTGAAGCGGATAACGAGCGTTTCTTAAAGAAGTTGCGCAATAGGATTGATAAGTAAGTCTTTTCTCCCTTATCTTATTCTTGCATGCATGAAATCAGTTAATATTTCGCTCAATCTACTTACCAAAGTATGATTTTTTCCATTCCTTTGGAAAAGTATAAACATCCGAGAGTGAAGTGTGCAAACGGTTGCTTATGCGCTCATTTATGAGGGCTAAATTTTTGTATTTGCAAATAAGATGATTTGTGGGTTAATGAAATATTAATACTTCATTGGAGTATTACAATTACTTCAAACTTTTGTTTTCATTAATCATATTGAATCTTCTCCAACAAGCGAGTACATGTACTATTTATTGTTGCATAATAAGTTTCTTGCTTAAGGTGCTTGGAGGACTCTTATAAGTGTTGATAGCTTAGGAGTACTGTAAAATCTTGATTAAGGGGCCTGCTTCTCAAATTGCAAAAGTTATAGTTCCTTTTTTTTTTGGAAAGTTCTCATCTTTTTTCCCCATTTGGAAGAAAAGGAAAAATAATATGTAGAAGACATGTTAAAGATATGCTGTCATAGATCACGCTACCTATGAAAATATGAACTTAAGTATCTCGCTTCTGCAAAAGGAGAATAGATTAGAGCCAGCTATTCAGTAGCGCAATTAATAATCATTTTCTGCATAAAAATTTATATAGTTTTAAAATATATCCCCCAAATTTTAGTTATCTCTAAAATCACCCTCTAAATTAGCATAATTACTAATTACTTTTTTACCTGCACAATAATTACTGCTAATTTCAATATATGTGTAAAAAGGCTAGTTTAGCCTTGTGTAGTATGAAAAAGGGTGGATCGGTTTTTTTTTCTTTTTTTTTTTTGGGGGGGGGGGGGNACACAGTAGGAAGAATGGAGTAACTGTTTCAATGCTTCACAAACTTAAGGATTAATTAACTGAGGGTAATTTATTTATTCATAAAACAATTAATTCCATTTAATATATTAAATAAGGAAATACTCCAATTTAATTCCTAACAGGTAACTATATGGGGGTAAAATTTGATTTGACTATAGTTTGGAGAATTATGATGGTTTGAGGGGTAACTTTTATAAATATCTTATATTTAAGGGCATGTCCCTTTAAAATATAAAGTTACATAAGTTTCTACGATACCACTATAATCTTATCAATTCGCACTGATTCTCTAAATAAAAGTCAACATCATAAATTGATGCGTTGCTCTTGGATCACCTAAAATATTGTTTCGAGCATTCCACAACAAAAGGAATGAAAGTCTATAAAATAAATCCATTTTGGAATCTTTCAGTTGGAATGTTCCCCTTTGTGAGCGTTTGAGAGAGTTAACAACCTTACTTTGTGCAATAGTGTATTGTCTAAGTACAGCTAATACCCACTTAGTGCATTTTTACAGGTAAATTCTTTAGAATTTTACTTTTACATATTACTAAAAAAATCCTCTTTGGGGAAATAATGTGGATTCTTAGTTACCTTAATTTTAGTAGAGAAATTGAAGATAACTAATCTCTTGCTTCACATAACAGTTGGTAAAAGATAGTTGAGTTTCTTAATTTTGGTCCATCCTTCTCTCAAAATAGCAATCTCTTCCAGCAGGTACCAAATCAGGCCAAGAATCATTTAAAAGTCAAAAACTGATTTCTAGATTACAACATTGCATTTTCCACTTTCAGGGTTGGTATCCAGCTTCCAACAGTTGAAGTTAGATTTGAGCACATTGCGGTGCAGGCTAAATGCTATGTGGGGACTAGAGCACTGCCCACTCTTGTCAACACTACAATGAACATTATCGAGTCTGCGTTGGGATCGCTGGGTATTGGACTTACCAAGATGACCGACCTCACCATCCTCAAGGATGTTTCAGGGATTATAAAGCCTTCCAGGTGAATTAGAATGGTTGAATTTAGATGGATACTAGTTCTTCATTATTGTTCATACTATACTATTGAGCAACGAAACACTGCAGCACACAAATAACTTTGTGAAAAATACAGGTGAAAGCAATTGAAATCGTTGGAAGTTGATTTTTTTGTTGCTGCAAAAATAGAGGTTTTACTGTTATGGGCCTCTTTAGCTTTGCAGTAAAGTTTTCTAGTCAAGTCATATGATTCCAAAAAAACATTGAAGCCCTTTCGTCTCTGAAATTTGTTAAATTAGAGCTATATAACCCCCAAGAGTTAACTGTTAGCTGTAATTACAAATATCCACTCAGATTGGATTTTTCTAAACTCAAGACAATGTAAGGAACTGCGTCATCTTGCCCCTCTTACTAGAACCTCATACTTCCTTTACTTCTCTTCCAAATTCAATTTGGAGGTAATTCATTTTTTCCAGACAGACCATAAAGATGGTAAAACTACAGTGGAGAATATTGCAAACTTATATCCACAATAGAAATTAACTATGTTGGAAAATTTCAACACTCAAAAAGCCTGTTGCAATCACAGCCCTGATTGACTTTAAATAGAAAGCTTTTCCATGTACTTGGATATTATGAATGAGTATTTTGTCATTCTTAGAAAAGTTTATGATATGAGATATGTGCTGATTATCTTCTAGTATCTCAAGCTATATTATATTGAGATATTTAATTTATGCTTTCAGGATGACTCTCTTATTAGGCCCTCCAGCCTCTGGGAAGACAACACTACTGCTTACTCTTGCAGGAAAGTTAGGCCCTAGTTTGAAGGTTTGCTAATTCAATCTATGGACATTGATCTGTTACCACATATTTGTCATATAATAGTAGTCAAATCCAGTTTTTTCATTCTGTGATGTATTGTGTGTTGCTAATGTAGTCAAACGGAGAGGTGTCATATAATGGTTATCAACTTAGTGAATTTGTGCCCCAAAAGACTGCAGCATATATTAGCCAGTATGATCTCCATGTTGGAGAGATGACTGTCAAGGAGACAATTGATTTCTCTGCCAGATGCCAAGGAGTTGGCCCTAGATATGGTAGAATTTTCAAAATCTCTCTTCTTTTATGCATATTTTATAGCCATGCACATCATAATTTGTTTATTGAAATAAAACGATGTTTCTCAGAATACACTTTTTTTACAGGTTTTCTACACTTTTTGTATGAGAATATAGTGTATGACAGAGAATTTGTGACTTATTTGTAATAAACCTTTTAGGAAGTCACATTTTAGCCTCCCCAAAATAAGACAGAAACTTGATAAGTCCAACTTTATATTTCCATGTGCTTCAAATTTATGACAGAATGATTTAATTTACATGAAGCTAGATCAAAGGGGAATTAGTAAAAAGGAAATGAGATTGATAAAGTGGGTTCACTTTGTTGCAAAACTAAATAATCATAGCTTGGAGTATTTATCTTTCTTGGGTTCTCAACAGGAAGGGTGACATTGTTTAACAAGAGATTGGAATTAATCTGAAAAAGAGAATAAAAAAACTCTGAACCCTCTTATGCGTTAATAGATTTAGTGCATAAATCATGCAGAGCTCCTTAATGAGTTGGCCAAGAGAGAGAAAGAAGCAGGGATATTTCCAGATCCTGAGGTGGACCTTTTTATGAAGGTAGCCGAATTACATGTCTAAATTAGTAAAATTTGAAAATTTATCATGCTCTTTCCTTTATGCTTTTTTCCTTTTAACATTTTCAGGCTACAGCCCAAGAAGGAGTTGAGAGCAGCCTACAAACAGACTACACACTGAGGGTAAGTCTACTGTGGGCATTCCCGGAACACTCCTTATCTTCCCAAAATAGGCCTTGTTTGCATATGAAGGATTGGTGGGAATAAGCTTAAAATTACTGCACTCTCCCTGTTGCCTAATGCCCAAAATCAGGAGCATTTCAGGAGGAGTGAACAGTAAACATTATTTAGCAATGGACATTATAAAAGGCTAGTTCATAAATATAATTATGTTGTTTAATTTTTCTGGGTAAAATGGGAATGATTTCAGATCCTTGGGCTAGATATTTGTGCTGATACAATCGTGGGCAATGAGATGATTAGAGGTATTTCCGGTGGGCAGCAAAAGCGTTTGACAACAGGTTAGACATCGGGCACATATATATCCTCAACAATTGCATTTTACCACACTTAATGAAATAATGAAGTATACCTATCCATTTATGAATTGTAGTGGACATAGACTGAAATGTGAATGAGAAATTCCAAGATGAGCAGCAATTGCTGTATTTGATTCTTTCTTCTTTCTTTCTTTCTTTTTTTGGAACTGTTGTTGTTAGCGGAAAGAGTTTTTACTATCTTTGGATAAGCATGTCTGTATCCTCTTCAGAATTGTAATTCCAGATAATTATTGATGTAACAATCTCTTGCTGTTGTCACTAATTTCTGTTGTAGGGGACAAAGCGTATGTGTTTCCTAAAGTTGTCTCATTTCTCTAGCTAGATTGGGCTTTAGATCACAAAGTTATGAGGGAAAAGGCATAGATAGAGGAAGTTTGTAGGTTCATTCAAATTAATGGCATATCATATACTTCTGTAAGTGATCATAACCAAGGTAGTTATGCCCCACTCTCTTCCTCCCTCCCACTGTGCACGCGTGCGCTCACCTGTATATGTGTAGTATGTATCATGTATGTATATATATTTGTCGGTTTGGGCCACAAAATATGCAATATAGATCCAACAATAAAACTATATCTTACCTAATATGGCCGTGACTAAAAATTTAGGTTGGATGTTTTATGGGGCTCAGGTATCATCCCAAATTGCCAACCCTAGAAAGCAGATCTCTTGATCTCTTTAATTCAAAAATGAGGGAAAGAAAATATTGACCTTATAAACCTATTTTAATGTATCTATAGGAATGTCAGCAGTCATCCATAGCTTAAACAGTCATGCTGTTACTTCTGGTCATGTTACATTAGCTCTGATGTTTGGATCCCAAAATATTGGACCAAACTTTGTTCGGATGATATCGCTTGTACACATGCTTCTAAAGCTACCCGATTAGCTACCTCACCAGCTGCATTTCCCCAAAGGTGTCCTAAAGTTTCTCCACCAAACTGTAGTACGGAATCATCTCCAAGGATTTCGGTTAGGGCACACATATGCCAAACATGAATACCCCCTGAAGCCACAGGAATAACACCTGGCATAGAAACCCAATCTTGAGTTAAAAAACTACTCTGACTTCGGTTGTTTTCAATATAATCATCACGTAATAAATCAACAAAACCTAAAGTCATCTCACGTTTCCCTTCCAGTTTACCTACTACTGTACCAGCATGAATATGATCTCCACCAGACATACATAATGCTTTAGCTAGTACACGAAAACGCATATCATGATTTTTCTGTCTATCAATAACTGCATGTATTGTGCTGTGGATGTGAAGAAGTAGACCATTGTCGTGGCAATAATGAGCCAAACTGGTATTTGCAGTAAATCCTCGAGTTAAGTATGTTAGCCTAACAAAACAAACCGTGGGGCCCACAAAGGTGGGCCCCACAAAGACAAATGAGATTTCGGTGTCGTTTTCTTTGAAAAATAAAAAAGGTGGCGGGTCCCACAAATATTTTATTATTAGTGACGGATCCCACAGATAATGTTATATTTGTGCATAGTGTTTTCTCAAACACTATAAATAGGGCCCTAAACTCTTAAGAAAATCTCATCCCAGAAACAACTCCTCTCATAGAAGAGTAAGAGAGAAAACACAGAGAGAGATTGTGAGAATTCTTGGAGTGTATCTGATCAAGAGAGGGTGTTCTCTTGGATCTATTCTTTTGGGATATAAAAGAATTTGGCATCGTCGTTGCACCGTGGAGTAGCTCCGAAGGAATGAACCATGTATATCTGTGAGTACTCTGGTTGATCTTGTGCCTTTATTTTGTGTATTGCGTCTCCGTTAGAGGCGTTCTTATTGGGGTGTATCCTAACAAAGTAGTCATGCATTACGATTCGGCGGCCAAAATTTCAGGTATTGGAGGATGCAAATAGAAGACTATTTGTACCAGAAGGATCTCTTCCTCCCCCTCCAAGGAGAGGCGGGGAAACCAGAGAAGATGGACGACGATAAGTGGAAGGTGCTTGATCGTAAAGCACTTGCCACAATCAGGCTCAACCTTCACCAGCATGTGACTTACAACGTCTTGCATACGACCACCACCAAGGAGTTGATGGAGGCTTTGGAGGCGCTGTATGAGAAGCCGTCTGCTTCAAATAAGGTGTACCTGATGAAGAAGCTATTCAATCTCAAGATGCAGCAAGGAGCTCGCGTGGCGGACTTCTTGAACGAATTTCAGGCTGTGGTGCAACAGCTTGCTGCAGTAGATCTAAAGTTCGACAACGAGATCCAAGCTCTTCTGCTACTTTCTTGTCTACCAGATTCATGGGAGAATATGGTAATGGCGGTGAGCAACGCTAATGGCAATGACAAGATGAAGCTCGACACAGTGGTTGGGGCAATTCTGGATGAAGAATCTCGCCGCAAAGTCTCAGGAGCTGAGGCCTCTAGCAGTGGGAGTGCTCTGCATGTCGAGGCACGAGGGCGTGCACAGAAGAAGGGTAGGGGACGACGAGGCCAATCAAAATCCAGAGGGAAGTCTAAAGGGCCTAACCCGAATGGTTACGGTGAAGGGAAGTGCTTCAGATGCGGAAAGAAGGGCCACTTTGCACGGGACTGCAGAGTTACTGTTCAAGCATCAGCAGGGGATGATCGGGCTGACGGTGCAGCCAATCTCATGCACGAGACGGATTCGGATGCACTTCTCCTATCCCTAGAAGACAAAAGTGATGCGTGGGTCATCGACTCTGGCGCATCTTTTCATGCAACCTCACAACAAAAGCTGCTTTCATCGTTCGTGAAGAAGGACTTGGGGACAGTCTATCTTGGCGACGATCAACCTTGTAAGGTTTCCGGGAAGGGAAATTGTACCCTCAAGATGAAGGGCGGGACCACCTTGACGCTGAATGACGTTTGGCATGTACCGGATCTCAGGCAAAATCTCATATCAGTCGGGCAACTGACTGACTCCGGTTACAGAGTATCCTTTTGTTTGAAAAATGAGAAAAGGTAGTGGGTCCCATAATTATTTATTATTAGTGGCGGGTCCCACTAATATATTTTATTTGTGCATAGTGTTTCTCAAACACTATAAATAGGGTCCTAAACTCTTAAGGAAATCTCATCCCAGAAACAACTCCTCTTATAGAAGAGTAAGAGAAAACATAGAGAGAGTTTGTGAGAGTTCTTGGAGTGTATCTGATCAAGAGAGGGTGTTCTCTTGGATCTATTCTTTTGGGATATAAAAGAATTTGGCGTCGTCGTTGCACCGTGGAGTAGCTCCGAAGGAGTGAACCACGTATATCTGTGAGTACTCTGTGTTGAATTTTGTGCCTTTATTTTGTGATTAAGTCTCCGTTCGAGGCGTTATTATTGGGGTGATTCCTAACAACTGGTATCAGAGCCTGACTTAGAGTATATATATCTGCTTATCGTATGCTCTGTGGCTGCCACTAAAAGTGGATCCTCCACATCAGAAAATAAGTTAGATTAATATTTACTCTTTTAAGGCATTGGACACTATTCACGTGTACGGTACTATTCACGAATACGGTACTATTCACGAATACGGTACTATTCACGAATATGGTACTATTCACAAATACGGAAAAGACGTAATCTTTCGCCATGGGATCTACAGTTGAAGACAACATGCTTCGAATTGAGAAGTTCGGCGGCCAAAATTTTAGGTATTGGAGGATGCAAATAGAAGACTATTTGTACCAGAAGGATCTCTTCCTATCCCTCTAGGAGAGGCGGGGAAACCTGAGAAGATGGACGACGATAAGTGGAAGGTGCTTGATCGTAAAGCACTTGCCACAATCAGGCTCAACCTTCACCAGCATGTGACTTACAACGTCTTGCATACGACCACCACCAAGGAGTTGATGGAGGCCTTGGAGGCGCTGTATGAGAAGCCGTCTGCTTCAAATAAGGTGTACCTGATGAAGAAGCTATTCAATCTCAAGATGCAGCAAGGAGCTCGCGTGGCGGACTTCTTGAACGAATTTCAGGCTGTGGTGCAACAGCTTGCTGCAGTAGATCTAAAGTTTGACAACGAGATCCAAGCTCTTCTGCTACTTTCTTGTCTACCAGATTCATGGGAGAATATGGTGATGACGGTGAGCAACGCTAATGGCAATGATAAGATGAAGCTTGACACAGTGGTTGGGGCAATTCTGGATGAAGAATCTCGCCGCAAAGTCTCAGGAGCTGAGGCCTCTAGCAGTGGGAGTGCTCTACATGTCGAGGCACGAGGGCATGCACAGAAGAAGGGTAGGGGACGACGAGGCCAATTAAAATCCAGAGGGAAGTCTAAAGGGCCTAACCCGAATGGTTACGGTGAAGGGAAGTGCTTCAGATGCGGAAAGAAGGGTCACTTTGCACGGGACTACAGAGTTTCTGTTCCAGCATCAGCAGGGGATGATCGGGCTGACGCTGCAACCAATCTCATGCACAAGACGGATTCGGATGCGCTTCTCCTATCCCTTGAAGACAAAAGCGATGCGTGGGTTATCGACTCTGGTGCATCTTTCCATGCAACCTCACAACAAAAGCTGCTTTCATCGTTCGTGAAGAAGGACTTGGGGACAGTCTATCTTGACGACGATTAACCTTGCAAGGTTTTCGGGAAGGGAAATTGTACCCTCAATATGGAGGGCGGGACCACCTTGACTCTGAATGATGTTCGGCATGTATCGGATCTCAGGCGAAATCTTATATCAGTCGGGCAACTGACTGACTCCGGTTACAGAGTATCCTTCGAGCAGAGAAGCTGGAAGGTGTCCAAGGGTGCTCTGGTGGTGGCACACGGCAAACGCGAAGGGTCTCTCTACATCGCCAATGGGAAGATCGACCACTTGCTTGCCGCAGGACAAGCATCATCATCATCATCCGTCGACTGCATGACTTGGCATCGACGACTTGGCCACATGAGCGAGAAGGGGATGCAGATTATGGCCGCGGGAGAGAGGCTTCCGGGTCTGAACAAGATCGATCTGACTTTCTGTGAGGACTGCATCCTAGGCAAACAAAAGAAGGTGAGCTTCAACAAGACCGGACCGGCTCCAAAACTGCAGAAATTGGAGTTGGTGCACACCGACGTGTGGGGACCTGCGCAAGTCCCATCTGTTGGTAACTCTCTTTACTTTGTCACTTTTATTGATGATGCTACGAGAAAATTGTGGGTGTTCTTCTTGAAGCACAAGTCAGATGTATTCATTATCTTCAAGAAGTGGCTTGCCTGTGTGGAGAATAAAACAGACAATAAGCTGAAGTGCCTAAAATCTGATAATGGAGGCGAGTATTGCAGCCAGGAGTTTGAGAACTTCTGCTCGTCTCGTGGGATTCGGAGACTGAAGACCGTCCCAGACACACCTCAGCACAACGGAGTGGCGGAGCGCATGAATCGTACTATCTTGGAACACGCCAGAAGCATGAGGATCCACTCCGGATTGCCCAAGAGCTTTTGGGCCGAAGCTGTCAATACTGCTGCATACTTGATCAACCGCGGGCCATTCGCGGCTCTCAGTTATGGGATACCTGAAGAGGCTTAGACCGAAAAGAAGCTGAAGCTAGAGCACTTACGAGTATTTGGTTGTGACGTCTATGTCATGACCAATCCTGTAGACCGGTCAAAGCTTGACCCAAAATCAAAGAAGCTCTCTTTCATCGGCTATGGAGGAGATGAGTATGGGTACCGTTTCTGGGATCACGATGCGCTCAAGGTGGTGCGCAGTCGTGACGTCGTGTTCCATGAGAATGCTGTGTATAAGACCAAAGAGGTGAGTGGGAGTCAGCTATCTCCCTCTCTTTTCCCAGATATTGCTGACAGTGAGGACGACGGTGAGATACCAATCAGTATAGAAGACGGAGACCAAGAGAACGTGCCAGATGCACAGCAGCAGGATCCAGCAGAGTTGCCGATCGCAATTCGTAAAGCTCCAAGAAATCCAAGGGTGCCAGAGAGGTACATTTTCACCATGAATTATTTTCTCCTGACTGACAGTGGTGAGCCAGAGAGCTATGAGGAGGTACAGCAGACCGGCAAAGCTCGGGACGAGTGGGAGTCTGCCATGAAGGAAGAAATGAAGTCCTTGATGAAGAATGGGACTTGGGAGCTCGTAAAGCTTCCAAGAGGGAGAAAGGCTCTTCACAATCGGTAGATTTATCGGGTCAAGGATGAAGCCGATGGACGAAGACGCTACAAGGCGAGGCTTGTAGTGAAGGGCTATGAGCAGAAAGCAGGGATAGACTATTCTGACGTTTTCGCTCCCGTCGTCAAGTTGACCACGATCCGAACTGTGCTGAGCATTGTGGCAGTTCGAGATCTCTATCTAGAGCAGATGGATGTATTTAGAGGAGAATATCTATATGTATCAACCAGTGGGCTTCGAGGAACGAGGTAAGGAGGGCCTCGTGTGTCGCCTGCTCAAGAGCTTGTATGGCCTGAAGCAAGCTCCGCGACAGTGGTACATGAAGTTTGAGAACTTTATGGAGGAGAACGGTTTTCTCAAATGTGACACAGATCACTGCTGCTTCATCAAGAGATATGGTGAATCCTATGTGATACTCTTGATTTATGTTGATGACATGTTGATTGCAGGGTCCGACTTGGCCCGCATTGAAGAACTCAAGGGGCGTCTCTCCGAGTGCTTCGAGATGAAGGATCTGGGTCCAGGAAACCAGATTCTGGGAATGAGAGGCTGAGGTTGTCTCAGAAGGCCTACATTGAGAAGATTCTTGAAAAGTTCGGCATGGAGAAAACTAAACCAGTGGGCTCGCCGTTTGCAAGCCATTTCAAGCTATCGAAGACCCAAGCACCAGAGACTGCTGAAGAGCATGAGTTCATGGCCAACATACCATACGCATCTGTCGTCGGGAGTTTGATGTATGCGATGGTGTGTACGAGGCCAGATATTACACAAGGAGTGGGAGTTGTGAGCCGCTTCATGAGCAATCCAGGGAAACAACATTGGGGTGCGGTCAAGTGGCTTCTACGCTACTTGAGAAGCTCGTCCGACTGTTGTCTTGAGTATGGCGGGAGAGAACGACACATTCCATGCTCGGACCAAGCATGTTGACGTGAAACACCATGCCATACGGAGATGGCAAAGCAGGAACGAGTTCAAGCTTGTGAAGATTGATACAAGGTACAATCCAGCCGATATGCTGACCAAGCAAGTTCCGCTCGAGAAGGTGAGGCTATGTGCAGCCTCATATGGCCTTCGTTGAGAATGCTGAGGGCCGTGCAAGACGCCAAAGATACAAAACATCCAGATGATGCAACCAAGAAAGGTGTGAAGATATGATTGATACTCAATCAAATATTCAAGTGGGAGATTGTTAGCCTAACAAAACAAACCGTGGGGCCCACAAAGATGGGCCCCACAAAGACAAATGAGATTTCGGTGTCGTTTTCTTTGAAGAATGAAAAAGGTGGCGGGTCCCACCGGGTCCCACAAATATTTTATTATTAGTGGCCGGTCTCACAGATAATATTATATTTGTGCATAGTGTTTTCTCAAACACTATAAATAGGGTCCTAAACTCTTAAGAAAATCTCATCCCAGAAACAACTCCTCTCATAGAAGAGTAAGAGAGAAAACACAGAGAGAGATTGTGAGAATTCTTGGAGTGTATCTGATCAAGAGAGGGTGTTCTCTTTGATCTATTCTTTTGGGATATAAAAGAATTTGGCGTCGTCGTTGCACCGTGGAGTTGCTCCGAAGGAGTGAACCACGTATATCTGTGAGTACTCTGGTTGATCTTGTGCCTTTATTTTGTGTATTGCATCTCCGTTAGAGGCGTTCTTATTGGGGTGTATCCTAACAAAGTAGTCATGCATTACGATGGGAACTCCCAATTCTCTGGCAAATACGGCCCTTTTGATCATTTCTTCACATGTACCTACAGTTGCATTCAAGTAATGTCCTTTGATTTCACCTGTTTCTTGCATGAGTTCTTGGAAAAAATGAACTATTTTTCATTAACGAAATGGGATGCAGGTGAGATGATTGTAGGCCCCACAAAGACCCTCTTCATGGATGAGATATCAACAGGGCTAGACAGCTCCACCACCTTTCAGATAGTAAAATGTTTCCAACAAATTGTCCATCTTGGTGAGGCTACAATCCTCATGTCCCTTCTACAGCCTGCCCCTGAAACTTTCGACCTGTTCGATGATATCATTCTTCTCTCTGAGGGCCAGATTGTCTACCAGGGACCAAGAGAATATGTGCTTGACTTCTTTGAGAGCTGTGGCTTCCGGTGCCCAGAGAGGAAGAGCAGTGCAGATTTTTTGCAGGAGGTAAATGAGAGTTTTAGCACATATTTGATTTTCTGACTTATTGACTGTCTTATAGCACAACAGTAAGAAACATTTTTTTGCTATTACTGTGAGATTTTACATTTTCTTTGATCATCAATAGTAATATAAGCAAAGTCTGTGAGTTTGACCATGCCATCAGAGTAAAAATCATCACACTAAAATCTTGACATGCAGATCTCAATTAGAGTAATATGTTTGTGATGTGGACAGGTCACCTCTAGAAAGGATCAAGAACAATACTGGGTAGACAGGAGCAGGCCCTACCACTACATATCTGTTTCTGAGTTTGTCAAGCAATTTAACAGATTTCACGTTGGTCTGGATCTGCAGAATGAGCTTTCAGTGCCCTTTGATAAGAAAAAGAGCCACGAGGCAGCCTTGATCTTCTCCAAGCGCTCGGTCCCAATATCTGAACTCCTAAGTGCCTCCTTCGCCAAGGAGTGGCTTCTTATAAAGAGGAACTCCTTTGTTTATGCCTTCAAGGTTATCCAGGTGAATCTATGAAACCAAGACCTCTCAGAGATTTTTCTTTAAACAAAGAATCAACATCCTTTATGTCGATTTACAATGAAGAGTTCTTTCATTTCAAATAATCCTATAACAAAATGTGATAAGGGGTTGCTCAGACATGCACTTGTTAATACGATAATGATGCTGCTCAGAAGATCTTTGTCACTGTATATCATCACATTGCCGGAATAGCTTTTCACTAACTTACTGTTTACATTTTGAAGCTTATCGTAGTGGCAATAATTGCCTCCACAGTTTTCCTAAGGACAAAAATGCGTACGGAAAATGAAGGAGATGGTGCCGTTTACTCTGGAGCACTCATATATGGTATAATTGTCAATATGTTCAATGGCTTTGCTGAGCTCAGTTTTGCCATCATGAGACTCCCAGTGTTTTTCAAGCAGAGGGATCAATTTCTGTACCCAGCTTGGGCATTCACCCTTCCAAATATCTTGCTGAGGGTTCCTATCTCTATCTTAGAGTCCATCATATGGGTTTGTATGACTTACTACTCCATTGGATTTGCCCCCGAAGGCAGCAGGTAGCTCTACTATTCCAAATTGAGTCCTGACATTACGAAATGAGCACATATCTATGCACCTAATCTTCTACATGCATATGAAACTGCATTTTGCCATTTATTTTTGAGGGTTTAGGTGTTTTGCTCTTTGTTGTTTGGCATTATAATTCTCCAATACACACAGTACATACATGACATACAAATAAACACAATATGCAAACCCCTGACCTCGATCCACTTACCTCCTAAACCACTGACATAGTGAAAACACTCCATCCGCTTGTCTTCCAAACATGGTTTCCACTTCTCTGCATAACACTTCTCAAGTATCTGCATCCATAAGGGGATGTCTTTCCGGAATAAGCATAGAGGCAAGTGATTGAATGGACACATAGACCTTACTCAATAGGCACAGTTTGACTAACTTATGACATACCATAAACCATGATGAATGAATATGAGCTTACTACATAAATCTAACTAGTAAAACCTATGAACCGCCTCTGATGACTGGATTGTGTGAGGCTTCCACAAGCTGGAAAGAGAAAGTGCAGAAGAGACTTTTTCAGTGGATGAAGTACATTAAAGTCCAAATAGAATAATTTTTATAGCATGCCAAATTCATGTAACCTATGAGTTATGCAGTATATTCATAACACGGCTTGCATAGTTGCATAATGCAGGTAGCCTTAACCTCTATTGTTTACAGCATTAATGATATCTTTTCTCTCAAGCCCAGGTTCTTCAAGATGCTGCTTATTGTCATCCTGATCCAACAAACAGCAGCAGGGCTTTTCAGAGTAGTTGCAGGGCTCTGTAGGACCATGGTTGTTGCCAATGCTGGAGGATCTGTTGCCTTCCTCCTCTTTTTCGTTCTTGGAGGTTTCATCCTACCAAAAGGTCGTCACCTGTGAATCTGGGATTTGTAACTTCAGATTGGTTCAAGAGATTCATAACTGTTAGAATATAAAACTATAACCCTTGATCCTCACTGTAACTTTGGAGTTTTGGTCTAATAGTCAGAGGACTTAATTAAAGATGGTATTAGAGCAACACAGGTTCGAATCATGCTGGCCAGAATTTAATGCGGATTCTAAAAAAAATTAGTGCTGCGTGAGTCTAGGTTTTCAGCCCATAAAAAGAGCGCTCAACCAGCGGGGGCATGTTAGAATATAAAACTATAATCCTTGATCGTCACCATAACTTCGACGTTTTGGTCTAATGGTTAGAGGACTTAATTCAAGAATAACTTCAGAAGAACCTATATTACATTCGATGAACCAGAGTGAACTTATAATTTGAAATTAATTTCAACAAAGGGAGTGGATTTTTATATTTAATATTATATAGAAGTGCCAAGTTGAATGCATAAATAAAAGGACGGATGAAGTTACAACTCATCTTCATTATTCTTTTGGATGTTTTTAATTGAACCATGCAAAGCTGCGATGGATGTTTTCCTCTTTTTTTTAATCGAAGAAAATTTCTCCTTTATTAACAGAAAAAATTCCTAGTTGGTGGGCGTGGTGTTACTGGGTTTCTCCTCTGCCATATGCATATAATGCCATTGCTGTCAATGAGTTTTTCTCTCCCAGGTGGATGGATAAATTTGTAAGTTCTTCCCTTACCCCTTCTACGCTTACATATATAAAGCAGGGCCTGCTATCATGGTTGCTAAATTCTATTGTATTAGTATTGTGAATTATCTCTTGATGTTTTCTTTGTCATGTGACTCTTTAAGATATTTCCGAGGAAACCAGTTTACTTATGAAGTTTATAAAAAGTGTGATTTTCATGTATCACATTGTTATCAATTTTCTTATTGTATTGAAAATATTGCATGATATACATATAGTTTACATGTTATTGTTTTCTGTTAATACTTTTTTATATTTTTTCCTTCTGATGCCTCCATCAGAATTTGGTGATACTAATTCATTTTTTTATTTCTTCCTGTGATCCTAAAATTCAAGAAAGTTCTCTTTTATGCAGATTTCACATCATCTCTTGTGCCTAACTTAATTTCATGTTCTAAATAATTAAACATAATCTGCAAATCATTTAACTCTTGGACCAGGAGAATTTTGTAACCTTAAGAAGCATCCAAATCTTTCGCCTCTCATTACATATATGATTCTGTGGGCATGCATACCATTTTTTGCAGCTGGTCTAGTCTTTGATGATGTATACTTTCTTTCAACAGACACCTGATGGCCAGAGGTTAGGAGTGGCAGTTCTAGAAAATGGCGGCATCTTTGTAGATAAGAACTGGTACTGGATTGGAGCAGGTGCTCTCTTTGCATACACGGTCATCTGTAATCTGTTGTTCACCCTTTTGCTCACATATCTAAATGGTAATCTATTTAAATTATCAGCGGTAGCACGTTTCCTAATTCCTTCTTCTATATGTTCAAGCATTTATGGAACATAATATACAATGTTGTTCCCGTAGAGAATTTACTATTCTTTCTATTCTATTTTCTTATGATAGCTCCGGGAAAGCAACAAGCTGTTATATCTGAAGAAACAGCCATGGAAATGGAAGACAATGAAGATGAATCAGTGGAATCACCACGGCTTAAAATGTCATGGTCAAGTAGAGCATCCACCCCTCGAAGTTTATCAGCATTTGATGGGAACAATACCCGTAAGATTTGCTTCCCGTACGATTTGCTTGAACTAAATAGCTTGAGATTATAAATCTTAGTTTGAGATTATAAATCTTTTCTTGGGTTCTAAAACCATTACAATGTAATTCTTGCAGCGGATTTCACAAAGCGACGTATGGCTGACCTTTCAGTTCCTGCTTCTCCTAATTGGCGTAGTTATGAGGCATCTGCAGGTTATGAATCTTCTGGGTTCTCTCATAGTCCTGTTCGGCGAGGAATGGTTCTTCCTTTTACGCCTCTTGCTATGTCCTTTCAAAAAATCAATTACTTTGTCGACATGCCTGCGGTGAGCTTTTCATTCGTTTGACTCCTTTCCTAGATTTGCCAGAGTTTATGTAACTTGCACTTCACGACTCTTAATTTTAGAGATTTGGATACCATCAGCAGGGTGTAGAAACTGAGATTCTTGATTGCAGCTATGAGTAAATAGGAATTGCTGCTATCTATGTGCATAGAACCATCAAACTAGCGAGCACCAGTTACTTTCAGCTCACATATGACTTGATTATATTTGACAGGAAATGAAAGCACAAGGAGTGAAAGAAGATAGACTCCAACTGCTGAAAGAGGTATCGGGTGCTTTCCGGCCTGGCGTACTGACAGCACTTATGGGAGTTAGTGGTGCTGGAAAGACAACTCTTATGGATGTTCTGGCTGGCAGGAAAACAGGTGGTTACATTGAGGGGGATATTCGAATCTCTGGTTTCCGCAAGAACCAGGCTACCTTTGCTAGAATTTCTGGATATTGTGAGCAGAATGATATTCACTCTCCTCAAGTAACAGTCAGGGAGTCATTAATCTACTCTGCTTTCTTGCGTCTCCCTCAGGATGTTACCAAGGAAGAAAAGATGGTGAGCAGATTACTAATATTCTTTAAAGTGACTGTGTGTTTCATTTTAGGGAGGAAAAGAGAAAAGAAATTGCCAACTAGCCACTTGATTGACTTTGAATTTCCTTTAGTACTTTTGGCATAGGAAGCTTGTATTAAACATGAAAGGTCTGTTTTATGTATAATCAATCTAGATTTGGGGCCACAGACATACTAGCTGCTTTTGTTACTAAAATGCTCATATTGTTGATATTGCTTCCATTTTCCCTGCATTTATGTGTACTTCCTGAGTGCTCTCAACCTTCAGCTTTACTAGGATTTCTACATTTACTATAAAAAGTATACATTTACTAGGATTCCTACATTTAATATAAAATTTACGACAGTTTCAGTCTTATAAGTGTATACTTTATATTCATTTCTTTTTAATTTATAACTTTGAGAGATTACTAAAACTGCAGATTCAAGATGAACTGCATTTAGGATTTGAATAGGTCTGTGTAAAATGAATGGAAGGTCATATTAGCTAACAAGGAAAACTTCTACTAATAACTGAAGATCTTGACATCAAGAAATGTTAAAGGAAATATTTAAAAAAGACCCATCAGATAACAAATAAAATCAGGAAGTGAGAATATGAATCCCTGCGTAGTTTGCAGGATCTTCAATAAATAACATGCTCCATACAGTTTCTAGTAGTTTGGATTGTTCAAGTTGCAGAGGTGCAATCAAGCTATACATATGATATTTATTATTAGTAAGTTACTTAGATCTAATCAGTATACCAACTGCTGAATTTGATGGAACGAACGAGTTTTTTCCCCTTACAGAGATTTGTGGATGAAGTAATGGAGCTGGTTGAGTTAGAGACCATCCAGGATGCTATCGTGGGGCTTCCTGGAGTTACTGGGTTATCAACAGAACAGAGGAAGAGGCTGACAATAGCTGTGGAGCTCGTCGCTAATCCTTCAATCATTTTTATGGATGAACCAACATCTGGTCTTGATGCCAGGGCAGCTGCCATCGTGATGAGGACAGTAAGGAACACTGTAGACACTGGGAGAACTGTTGTTTGCACTATCCATCAACCCAGTATTGACATTTTTGAATCCTTTGATGAGGTATTGATACTTAGAACTTGATTTCCCCTCTTTGAAGTTTCAATGACGTATTTATATGATTTTATCATGAATGAGGTGGTGTAATTATGATCTGTTTATGTATACAACAGCTACTATTATTGAAGAGAGGAGGTCAACTAATATACTCTGGACCTTTGGGCCAAAATTCTCGCAAGATGATTGAATACTTTGAGGTTGGTTCTTGAATCTTTGATTAACTTATATAGAATCATAGGTTACTGCATCAGCATTGCCACTTTTAGTTTTTGTTAGGGAGCTATTATTTTCCACTTTTTTCTGCCTCTGCAACATAAGCATCACAACTTACTCCTAGATGTTTTTGAAGTACTGGCTGTTTCTTGCTGTTTTTCAATTGATATTACTGTTATTTTTACTGAATACATACTTCTCACTATCCCAAATTTTTGGGATGTAAGGCTTTGTTGTTATTGTAGATAAATTTCTTAAAAGAACTAGAATGGAATTCTTTTAATTCTGTGTTGTTTGGTTCAACCAGTCAATTCCAGGAGTTCCAAAGTTTGAGGAGAAATGTAACCCTGCAACATGGATGCTGGAAGCCAGTTCTAGTGGTACTGAAGTACGACTAGGAGTTGACTTTGCCGAACTCTACAGATCATCTGCTTCCTACAAGTGAATTTCTGTACACTCTTGCTAAATTGATCTTCATTTTAAAGTTTAAAGACCACTATTCTGAGGAAAATTGGAATTTTCTTTTGTGAACAATTTCTGTTTCCATGTCTTATCTACATACAGGAATATAACACTCACCTTGTGATTCATTCCGTTATGACAGGCGCAATAAAGCACTAGTAAAAGGGTTAAAGAAACCACTTCCGGGTACAAGTGATCTATACTTTCCAACCCAGTTTGCACAATCAAATTACGAGCAATTCAAAGCCTGCCTTTGGAAGCAATGGTGGGCTTACTGGAGGAACCCTGATTACAATGTTGTTAGATTTTTCTTCTGCTGGTTTACTGCTATAATTCTGGGATCCATATTTTGGAATATAGGACACAAAAGGTCGGTGTGCTTCTCTTTGTAACTCTCATAAGATAGCAGTTCAATCAATCGACTAAAATCTTTTAGAATGCTGGTGCTGACCTTGTTACTGCAAATTGGTGTACAGGGAATCTTCAATTGATCTCACAATGATTGTGGGATCCATGTATGCAGTCATACTGTTTACAGGATTTAATAACACTTCAACTGTTCAAACTGTTGTCGGAATTGAGAGGACAGTGTTCTATCGAGAGAAGGCTGCTGGAATGTACTCTACCATGGCATATGCCTTTGCTCAGGTAAAGAAACCAGGAAGCTAATCATTTTGGCTGCGAGTGAGGTTTGAGATTTTAGTTTCTCTTGATTTTCTAATTTAACTATACAGTTAAGAATCATCGCCCTTAGGAAAAGCCGTAACTAGACCATAAACAACTCTAATACCTGGTAGGATTTTGTGGTGATACTTCTCCTGCTTTAAAAGGTTCAGCTAAAAGTACACTGAAATGGTGCAGTTGATAAGGTCAGTATCACATAATTGTGTGTTATTTAGTTCTGCACACCGCAGTATGCTGTTTTCTTTGGTGATTTTTTTGTTCAATTACTTCATGATAATCAGTGCCTAGGATTTTTTACCCATACCTGACCCTTGCTGCTTGAGTTACAGCTCAAGAACAGACAATATTTCATACTAAATGATAAAATTTTTATTTTTTATTCTAAATCCGTCCCTATGCCATGTTTTGATGCAGTTCTTTGTTTTTTCTTGTCTTCTCAATTATTATTCCTGCTTGCTAGACTAGTTGTAGTTCCATGTATCTTCTTCTCTGTTGTCAGCTGTTAAGGTTTAATGTTTCCATTATATTCCACCACGTAAAGGAAAAATGGCACAGTGAATGACATGCTTTTAACTCGCAGAAGCAATTTAATTATCTCCATCTACCTTGTTTAACATATGTTTACTCCCTTCGCAGATGGCTGTGGAATTGCCGTACGTGTTCATCCAGACCATAACCTATGTTCTGATAATATATAGCATGTTGGGCTTCGAGTGGACTCTAGTAAAGTTCTCTTGGTTCTTCTTTGTTGCCTTTTTCACCTTCCTATACTTCACTTATTATGGAATGATGTGCGTGGCAATTGCACCAAACGTTCAAGTTGGTGCACTGATTGCTGCTACATTTTATACACTCTTCAACCTTTTCTCAGGCTTCTTCATCCCCAAAGCAGTAAGTGACTCCTCAAAAGTTTCGTACCATTTCAGTAGATTCTTATTATAAAAACACAAAAAGTAATAGCGTTATTGTTGAATTCAACGCAGAATATTCCAAAGTGGTGGATATGGTACTATTGGATATGTCCTGTGTCATGGACGGTTAATGGGCTTGTAACCCCTCAGTTTGGAGACTTGGAGGATATTATTAGGGTGCCTGGTGAGCCTGATCAATCGATCAAATCATATATTAAGGATCAATTCGGGTTCGACGTTGATTTCTTAGGTGCAGTGGCAGCAGTGCTCGTGGGTTTCACTCTATTGTTTGCTTTCGTGTTTGCTTATGCCATCAGGAAATTAAATTTCCAACAGCGGTAAAATAGTTATAATATAAGGTGAAGAAACCTTATGATAACCTAAGAGTATGATATGCTTGTAATTTTGTAACAATGCATATAGCCTTGTCGGTTCATTGTAGTTAAGTTTATCGTCGTCCAGTGAGCCAAAATGGAGGGGTTATTCTGTTTCTCTTTACAGTTGCAGCGTGATTTGATTTAAATTTGTGATTTTTTATTCCATTTGATTGTGATACGATACGTCAATTATATATATTAATAGATATAGCATCAGAATCAAGCATCTGTAACCGGACAAATGGAAATAACCAGATTTGCAAAGAAATGTAAGATGATAGAACCAAGGGCGTTGGTTTCCTGGATTATTATTTCTCAAACATTTGGTGAACTAGGTTAAATTATATCAGTTGATTAAGTTTTGTTTGGAATTGGTGAAGGTATTCAATTTGTCTATGGCATTTGATTTGGTTGTATCATGAAAGAAAAGAAAGTAAAACAGAAGCCTTTGAAGATATATTGATTTACCTTCATCACGGATGCAAGCACAGCCATGAGATTGGACAAATTTATTTCAGCAAAAAGTTTGTGAGTATCAGAAACTGTGTCAGTTGGATTTTGTTGATGTTAATAATCACACAGATAATATAATGGGGTGAGGTTGATTAGGGGGCCGTTAACTTCTCTGAATATCTAATTTTGAGTTAAGTAGTTACAACCTGCACAGATAGCAATTCGTGAGAGGACGGTGACTAGTTCCCCCGTTCTGTTGTTCCTCCGACGATCAAGTCAGTTGATGGACTTGAGTGGGAAAAAAACGATGAACTGTGTGAGCTCTAAAGTGTAGTGTAGTGGAATTCTCAGATATTGCTTGCTTACCTTGGTATTTGAGGATAGTACCTCTATTTATAGTGGTGGAAAAAAGGGTAAAATGATAATCTCCGACGAGTACAGGATGGCGGCAAACGAGTATGGGATGACGATTACGCCATCACCTACTTTACAGGTGTCGGTCGACAAGTGGAGGAGAGGTCACCTTAGAATTTAATACAAAGTGATTGGGGGTATGACGGTGCCGACGTGGTCCAATGTGTCATGAAGACTATCGGGGCTAGAGGAATGATAGCGCCTGCCAAGCATTTAATGTGACGCTGACGTGCTGTCAGCGGGGGAGGCTCAAGATTGAAGTCGTCTTTTGGCTTATAGCGAGGGGTGTCAAGAAGGAACGTCTTTCGAGTCGACCTTACAATGTGTCGAATAACTGGTCGAGTGGGCTCGTAACGAGTCGTCTTTGACAAGAGGATCGACAAGTACTGCCTTTCGAGTCGACCTAAGGAGATGTCGACTCGGTGAGTTTGCTAAGCCGGGATTCTTAGTGGTCCTGACCGTCAATTCGATTTGAGCGGTGCACGTAGGGGATACCTGTCTGTTACTAGCAAAGGACCGTACTTTGGCAACTAAAAACACCATAACAGATTTGTAGCAATTAGTTGATACGGGTGTATCTTTTTCTTTGCTTCAGGAGCTTATCGATCCTCATGGAAGCTTGAGGATAGTGATTCTCATGGTATCTTGAGAATAGAAACGTGGATGAAGTCGTTGAAGGCGGCAACGTCTAAGAGTACAGGAAAAACTGCAGGAAACACTTTGGACTTCCAGCTGTCGACCGCACGTGACTCCACAGTCGACCGCGAACGTGCACGACTTAGGAAAAGTCTCTGGACTTTTCGCGGTCGACCGCGATGGGTTCTGCGGTCGACCACCAAGTATTCGATACTGAGTTCTATCGTTATGTCCGGTTGACCACACGTGTCTCTGCGGTCGACCGCGAGTCGGGCTGGGCCAGACTTCCAGTTTCCTATTCGCTTTAGGTTTTGTGTTTGATATATATTAAAACACGACTTTTCTAGGGTTAGGGAACCGGATTGGATTCAAAAATGAGATCAGGGAGATCGTTCTTTGATCTAAAGAGATTGTGAGAGAGAGATTTGTAATCTATTATTTCTCATAATCTAGAGAAGATATTTTCCTTCGCCCAACTCAATTCTTTGTGTGTTTTTCTATTGTCTTCTTCACAACCCACTCTTGATAATTCCGCGATCAAGGGTGCTCGTTCAACGAATCGTATCAAATTAGTATCAAAGCGATTAGATCCTGTGAAGATGGGATCCTGTGTATGGTCCTTACTCGATCGCAATACAATAAGCTAGGTGAGATCCTTAATTCTTTGGAAGGAGTTTAGAGATTAAGGAAGAAGAAGATGACTGAAGGGGATAGTTCAGCGAGATTTGATGCATTGGAGAAACAGATGGAGATAATGGATTCGACTCTCACACAGCTCGTCAATCTTTTCCAAGAAAAGGACAAAAAGGAGGAATCTTCTTCGAAAGGCAAGAAGAAACTTGTAGGGGATAGTTCAGCGAGATTTGATGCATTGGAGAAACAGATGGAGATAATGGATTCGACTCTCACACAGCTCGTCAATCTTTTCCAAGAAAAGGACAAAAAGGAGGAATCTTCTTCGAAAGGCAAGAAGAAACTTGTA